TAATGTTGATGTTCTGAGCCTGAAATGTGCCAGATTTGGTCTCAGTATTTGTGGTCACTGCTTTGGACTAGCAGAAATAGACAGAAATTTAAAGACTACATGAAGAGACTTCAGGTTCTATTGGAAATTGAAAGATTAAATTTGTTTTTCCCTTGTTATATTTTAATGCTTCCAAGGTAAGTTATGCTTTAAAATTTGTACAAAGATTTTTGTAAATCTCTTTGCCTTTGCTTATCTCAGATTTCTGATTATTATTTTTTAAAAAGACTGAGACAAATCTCACCTACTATTTCATTTTCTTATATTTCATTTTATATTCTAATTCCTTAAGTAAACTCCTTTGTTTTCAGTGCACTTTGTTATTCTCATTACATCCCATATGGGAATTTTTCTTGTCATGCAAAGCAGCTCTTTCTCCCTGGCTGCACAGAGCACCTGTATCTTGTAATAAATTGCCCTACTTAAGTGGTCTTACAGCTTTTGTGTCTTCTTAACTTTCCTGTCTTCTTAAAATTAACATATATTTTCCTAACTAAAGGGCTGTCCTTTGGCACTTGATGTAAAATACTACATCAGCAAAGCAGTTCACCTCGGATGAAAGCGCCGCCACACAAATGACTTTACTGGGCACGTTACACACAATTGTTAAATTGTTAATTTTCACTTCAATCATTATCAAAATCTTTTTCCCTACATTATACTACTTCAAGCATTAGATTCTGCTGTTTCAGCAATCATTTTCCATGGTCCCTCTGACTTACCAATGGAGACATTTTAATTGCCTATTTGATGTGATTTATCTTCAAATGGATGCAGCCTGTTTCCTTCTGTTTGAATACCATAATTCTTCTGTGTACTCTATACACATAGCAAGAAGGAAGCTTTTAATAATAGAGTTGATAATGTTGTGAAGATACCGATTTAAACCATGCAGTGTAGCAGAGGCTCCAGTCACAGGCAGAATGCAGCAGTCTACCAGGATGCACTGTGTCATCCATTCCGCTAGGCAGGGCTTGTGTGGCTTTATCCCTGTCGTATCCCAAAAGCAGGGCAGCAGTGCCCTCTCGCGGGCAGCCCGTGGGTCTCTTTCCCTTGCTGTTGGAGGGCAGCAGTTGCTTGCCCAGGAGAGCCCCCACCTCCTCTCAGTCCCTGCAGGTGAGACCCAGCCAGCCAGGGCTGTGTCTCTGCCTGCTTTCTGTCCTCGGCTTTCTGCAGACTGCCCTTTTTCCTACTCTCTCACCAAATCACCTTTGCTTCATGACAAATAAAAATCAAGTGTTACTAACTTCAGTCATTTTGCATTACACCCCTGATCCATTGCCTTGGTAAAAGTCCTGTACAGATTTCATGCATGGCATGGCATTCACGATAGTTCTCCATAAGTGATGCAGGTATTGAACAAGAAAGAGTATCATAGAATCATAGGATATCCTAAGTTGGAAGGAACTCATAAGGATCATCGAGTCTGACTCCCAGATCTAAGCAGGTCTCACAGTTTGTGACAGAGAATTTCATTTGGCTGAGAAACAAGTGTAACAACACCAAGTTGAGCTCACAACAGTTCATTTAAGCTCCGTATATTATATTTTTCAACTTAACCGTTATTAACAGTCTTGAGCTGTCTCTAGATGCTGAAGATCATAGAATCATAGAATCAAGGAAGTTGGAAAAGAGCATTAAGATCATCTAGTCCAACCATCAACCCATCACTACCATATCCACTAAAGCATATTCCTCAGTGCCATATCTACATGTTTTTTGGACACCTCCAAGGAAAGTGACTCCTCTACCTTCCTTAGCAGCCTGTTCCTATGCCTCACCACTCTTTCAGAATAAATTTTACCTAATATCCAACCTGAACCTCTCCAGGTGCAACTTAAAGCTATTACTGGTCAGCAGGAAAATATCCTTGCCACGAACAGGTTATTCAAAGAGGATGCAGAAAAACTTCTTTACTTTGAGGGTGACTACACTGAAACACGCTGCCCAGAGAGCTTGTGGAGTCTCCTTCTCTGGAGACAGTCAGAAGCCACCTGGATGCTTTCCTATGTGACCTACTTAAGGAACAGCATTAGCAGGGGGTTGGATATAGATGATCTCCATAGGTCTCTACAAGTCTGTGATTCTGTTATATCCATCCTTGAAGAGATTCAGCACTCAGCTAGACAATGTCCTAAGCAACCAATTTTGACTTGGAAGTTAGCCCTGCTTGGAATAGGCTGGACTAGCTGACCTCCAGCTACATGAATCTCAGTTTCTCTACATGAGCAGTTCTGCCAGCTGAGAGCAGTCTCCAGCATAATGGTGTCATACAGGGGAAAATGGAAATACAGCTCAAAACACCTGCCTTGTAGTACAGCTCTTTTAGTTTAGAAAAGGCTCATAAGGAGCTTTGATCATGCTTTTAGATACACACAAAAGTGCTGCCAAAAATGTAAGGAAAAAGCACGCCTTTTTTTCTTCCTAACATCACTGCTAACAGCTATTAAAACAGCTCAGCCTCATTCATAGTTTTAAGACAAGTTACAGCCCTGCTACAAATTTTTAGCAGTTTGACAATTCACAAAGCATGAAAGCAACTTCAAACTACAAGAATAAAGCAAGGAGATAACTGCTCAGACACTGAACATCGCCCAGCTCAGTGCTTCTACAAGGGAGCACATACCAGTATAGGTTCCTGTTCTGCAGTCATATTTAGGATCAGAAATGAATTCATTTCTATTTGCTACAGTTTTATTTTTTTCAAGGATGGGTTAGCAACACACGGGATGGGGCACTGCTGTGGAATAGGTCTTGGGATGGTAAAAGATGCACCACTCACCTTGTCTAAAGCTTGCAGAAGAACACCACGTGTAGCTAGCTCTCTGATTGGTGTTTTGCAGTAACTACAGCGTCCGTCACCTCACCAGGATGGGGACCATGCAGCAAATTCCCTGTGCTCAGAAATAAAGAAGATATCTTTAAATTACATCTAGGAAGCAGTGCTTATCCAGGTTGGAGAGACCCAGGCACCACACGGGCTCAGTGCAGGCTGTCCCCAAACAGCAGCACTGGAGTGTGGCCAGGCTGTGGGAGTTTCTGACTGTGATGGACATGCTAGCACATTTCTCCTCAGAGAAATCCCAGAATTACACTGGCCTGACGAGCACAGTGTTGTTCACATAGAACCACTGATCCATGAAGTGCTTCAAACACCCGTAGGTATATTTATTCACAGATACTTTAACAAGAAGAAACAAATGCATGTTAACAACAGTGGAGTTTGACCCTTATACACAAAGTGTTCTTTGGTTTAGGACTATGTTTTGCATGTAGAAAAGTGGAATCTGTCAGTACTAGTTACACAGCATTTCTTACACAGATTCCTTCTATCACCTTTAACAAGAAAAGCCTTGTAGACTGAATACTTTTGCTGGAAGCTGAGCAATCATTGCTACTGGCACAAACACACGCAGAACAAAATCACTACAGAAATTGTAACCAGCGCTTCCAAAATTGAACAGACAATAGTTTCATAAGCTGACTTTCCTCCTGTTTTCAGGAATAGTCTACCAGACCCACTGCTGGCACTATCAATGCTTAGAGAAAACTGCATGAAAGAAGACAGTGGAGGTGGAGACCTGTGTTTCAAGATTGCTAGACAAGATGGCTGACCTGCTCGGCTGTAGGCTATTTGAGAGCAGTTTATCCTCAGGCTTCTCTGGTGACATCACTTTATATAAAATATATGGACCACCAAGCAAACACACAAGCACAGCAAAAAGAGTATTCTCCAGGCAATAGGAAACATGAATTTGAACCCTTGGCATGGAGAGTCAAGTATTTGTTACAAGCACAATATTTATATTTGCTGTTGATGAAAGGCTTTTTCTTTTTTTCTTTTATTTTGGAAACAGAATCAATTCAGATCACCTTAGGCTGAATTGTGGTGTTTCTTCACAGGTTCAGATTAAAGCCAAAGCAAAAAGAATAGCTGGCTATTCAGACCAGCCCTGATGCCAGGCTTCAGACCAAGCTGACCGAAATAAAGTTTTGTAGGGTAACGATTTGTTCTCTGGCAATACTGGAGGTGACAGCATGCTGGCTTCAGGATACAATGACAGGCTTCAGGTAGGCTATACTCCAAAACTTTCATGTCCCACATGCACCTGACACGCACCACACACCCAGTGCCAACAGCTTGTTGCTGCATGGAAAGGATACACCAGAAATAAGTGGTCAAGTATCACAACTAGATAAAATCATTCCAGTGGCACTGTGCTGCCAGTGTACTTTTCCTGTTGCTGTTAGGTAATGTAGGAAAGGGCAAAGTGGACAGAAAAGCCAATGGGTGGTGCTTTGCCAACCTGCTCACTTTCATAGCACCCATCTTCCACTGTAGCTCACACTTCCCACATCTGCAACACAATCAGACAACTAAAAAGTGACAAAAAATGTTTCTTCTACAGAGTCTGTGAGAGAACCAGAAAAACAGGGCATTTCCATAGCTCTCATAGAAAGAGGAAACGTAAATCCATTTTTCTCACCTTTTCTGGATCACGTCTTGTTCGTGGCAAGCCTAAGCCCTGTCCAAGCTCAGATCAGCACAGAGCATACCAAGAAAATCAATGCCAAGCCATATGCAACTTAGGTGAAACTGGAGCGTTTCTTATTGGTTTTCTACTACAGATAAAGATGATGGCAATCAACTACTAAAGATATTGGGAGAAAGCTAATTTAAGTCTCCCTTGGCCAAAATTGAGACAGCTGCAAGATAAATGGTAAAGTATATTTTTTTACAGCAAACTCTTATTTAATTAAGACAGATTTAATTAAGAAAGATTAGATCATGCTATGCTATGGTATGCATACGCAGAAATTTATACTTATATGTCCCTTGTTATCTAAGGTGTTTCCTTCTTTCACATGATGCCAACCTAAAAGACAATTTCTCATGAGTTTCTCCACCCAAAATTTTTCATCATTGAGCAACAGTACCAGAAAGCAGAGGAAGACGCTTATCCATCAATTAATTTCCTTTATTTCACAAGCTTTGAATTCAGAAATAGAACCACGACTAGTAGATCTTGATACGGTAGAGTAAGTAAAAATGCATGTGATTACAAAGGAAAAACTTTGTACAAAAAACTTTAAAAATCCGACGGCAACTTGAATTATCTGTAAGTACCAAAAAACTCATGCAGAAGGAGAGCACTACTGCCCAGGAGGAGAAATCCCTGCAGGGGTGGCAATGGCATTGGTTTGTATAAAGTATGGCGCGGTCTAAAATGGAAACAATGAAGACACAGACTTGGAACGTACTGAGTGGGTACAGACAGGTGCTACGGAGACCATTTGTCATTTGTCCTGATGATTTTCTGTGTCTGAGAGAAGTGCTTCTTGGGTTTATAATAAATTAAAGATAAAACAGAAGCTGCCTATACTACTCTACTGCATACTTTCAAGATGGCCGTTTTCTTCATAAGTGTTTTTAGTGGTGGTTATCAAATACAGACATTAATCTTGGCATTGCGTCTAGTCAATTGTTGGCAACGTGTTCTATAGGGACTCACTCACAGAATGCAACTTGCATAAATAACTCAGTAACATGCATTAACTATTCTAATACAGCAAAAGGGTGCAAAGGAACCATCATTCAGTTACGAGACAAAGCTAAAGCCTGTGGTCACTAAAGGGGCAATGGAAGCACCATGCTTTAAGGTGACTATGGCATGAAAGCACAATTGTGAGTCAAGTAGTTCCAAGCAAACACACCACACTATTATCACCTCTTTCTATACAAATTACAAAAAAAAAACAAAAAACAAAAAAAAAAACAAAAACAAAACAAAAACAAAACAAAAAATAAAAACCCAAAAAAAGACATTTCGTTTTTTATTTCCATTAGTACCAAGTAAAACTGTGGGTTCAGTAACACAGATACATGATCCTTCCTCCTCGTGTTTTTGTCCATCACCATTTTTCAGCCAAGACTGGTAATATTAGAACGACCACCAGGAGGTGCCACGATGCGATGTCCAGTGCGGCGGGGGTTGTTGTCATCTATCTGAGCTCCTGCAACAAGAGGAACACAGAAAACAAGGCTATGAGAAGGGCAAAATCAAATCATCAGCAGTGATGTTTTACATGACATACCAGCTGTGCTTCCCTCACATCACCATCAGCTGGTTTCTCCTGAGCCAGGCCCCTGCCTGAAGTGCTAAAGAGACCTTCAAAGGTGCCCGTGCCCAGCTTCAATCATCTTCAATAAGAAATGCAGGCATAAATGTTTGGGATCAGACTGAGCATAGATGCTCATCCTACATTGGAAATTGTCTTCTGCTGATCTGAGAAAGAATCCAGGCAGTGATGACCACCTGGATTCCCTTCACCAGATCAGATCCTGACAGAAAATATTGCTCTTTTATTAGGAAAGAAAATCATGAATGTGCAGAATGGCCTTTTGAAACCTGCCTCACTCGTTTCAAATGCCTGTCCCTGCAGGGTCCATGGGTTAACAGCACAGTAAATCTGATGTTAGTGCACATGAAAGGGAGCACTGATCTGATGTAAACTCATTCCCACTGCAAACTGCATTTTAAAATGCTGGACGATTAAGTTTGTGACAGCAAGCTTTCTGCTATGCTAAATACTGTGTGAACACACTCAGCTTCTTAAAGGCAAAATAAGATTACTAAAAAATTGTCAGATCATTTTAAATGCTATTATAGTCTCTGGCTCAGTCACACGTGAGGTGCCTGACTGGAATCAAACTTGCTCCACTAGGTGCCATGATAATACACAGGTCCAGCAGCAGACTCAGAAACCACAGCTTCACATGCTTTTCAAAATCCTCTCGTTACTTTTTATTGTTACAGGTCAAACTTTTAAGCTTGCTTTTTTTTTTTTTTCTTTATATAGATATACATATTTCTGTATGCTCAACATGGGCCCAAGTGTACAGGGAAAAATACATTCCAACTCACTGGAAGGGCTTTTAAAATACTTACTCTCCTTAGGCTTTCTTCTACAAGTTTTAATTTCTAAAAAGAGGATTTGTCAGGAATGAAAATGCCACCATCTCTCCCAGTGGGGGAGAAAATCCTGTGTCTTTCCTAACAACATCATAAAGAGCCACTTATTTACCAATTGGGCTGCAGACTTTTGAAGGATAGCAATTTGACACGCCTGTAATTATCTTCAAATGACAAGAATTATTTCCAACAACCCCAAAGGATGATTTTCCAGTCTATTTCTTATGCACCATGGAAAATATTTTGGGCACCAAGAGTGAAGAGACATGGAAAAGTATAATCTGCATATTAACAGATACTGCACATGGTTTGGAGACCGTGGGCAAGGACAACTGAGATTCCCACATCTAACAGCTTCTGTCAGTACTCTAAGAAGGACATCGGAGGTGTCTGAGCCATGTGAATCACACCAGGCCCACATGCCACTGACCACCAATGGGCCACACTCACATCAACCACAGACCTCTGCATGGTGTCAGGTAAATAATACAGGCTGCAGCAGAAAAGTATTTTAAATTACAAACATTCTGAATATTTGGTAATTTGTTAAATATTCCTAAGGAAAGAATGCATATGAACATTTTATATATGTTCCTGTTACATATATGTATTTTTTTTCATACTGGATTAAAGAGGTAATTATTGTAATTGAAATTAATCACCAATAATCCATACTCAAGGCTTTAAAGGCATTTCTAATGAGTTGGGTTGACTTACCTGATAAGCTAAAATTAGACTGATGGAGGTTTCTGATTGGTGGGGGCTGGTTTTTGGCAGGGGAGGATTTAGTTGAGGGTGCAGGAGTTGCATATTTTGGCGTAGCAGGGATTTCATACACAGGCCCATCATACATTCCTCTGGAGACTCCTTGCAGTCCTCCCACCTAAAGCAGGAGCAGAATAAAACCAGACACTGAATGCTCTGATAATGCTCCCTAATGACACCCGTACTGACACACAGAGGCCACTGGGCACAGTGGGGTCTCTGCATCTTGGCCTATGGTTCTTATGAGGAATATGAGAAAAGAGAATCATAAGAGTTTCACTGGCCTTACAAAGACAGAAATCTAGGAAATGTATGTTTAAGAAAACAGCTCCAATTTTCAGGAAGAGTCTCTAGCCACTGGATTTCAGAATGCAAAGTTCATCTGAAGGATTAGAAATCTAAGGCTTATATGATCATTGTTTCAGAATCATTTTCCCAGTGGTTTAAAAGTGGAATTTAAATGCCATGTAGGAAAGCCACACTGCTCACAGGAGTCTGTTCTAGCTCTTACAGAAAGCAATGCTTTTTCCTTGTTTTGGGGAATTCAGCATCAGGCTCAGAAGAACCTTGCAAGCTGAGCCAACATTAATGCCCAGAAGGAAGCAGCTGCTCACAGCAGTGAATCTACTTTCCAGGGCTCCACAAAGGCAGGGATTTGTACTGCTATCCCTATTCCAGGAGGTCTTCCCTGTGCCAGTTAGAGCTCTGCAGGCCCTTCTGTGATGTGTTCATCTATCTTCTCTTGTGCAGTGATATAGCTACAGAAGCTAATGGTGGCTGATACGACCATCACTGAGTTTTTCAAAATGTTTTCAATTAATAAAATTTGATAGTGAGAAAAGAAACACCGATATGGGATTGCTCTCACTTCCTCTCCACAGGCAGCAGAGGGAGCTGGAAGTGCAAAAATGTCAGTGCCTCACTTGGTTCCTCCGCATACCCTTCCCAACGTATCTATAATCAAATGTCTTTCCCAAATCCAGTCCCATTGCTAGATGCAAGCCACTTCGCCCAGTTACTTTTGTGCAAATCTCTGCTATGAAACACTATACTTGTTTTGGAAGTGTAGTTTTCACTATTTAAATAAAACAACATCGTCACTCTGCAGTGCACTCCCATCTGCTAAACCCTTGAAAGGCAAATGTGAAGAAAAGGCCCACATCATCTAACTCAATAATGTAAAAAAGAAAATTTACCACTTGGTATTTTGCAAAACTCTTATGTAAATACATTTTATTTTTACGGTGTGTTTTCTCCTTAGAAGAGCAGACTTTCTGTCTTTCATAGCTTGACACAATTTGCATAAAAATGCTGGAAGATTCATCAACCAGCTTGTAGGTTTAATTTCAGCAGTGGTTATCCTTGCAGGGAATGGCACACATTTAGTTGAAGAAAATAAATCTTTTAGTAATTTTTGTCTTGTTACCTGTTCTCTCAAAGTAATTTTATCACCCACTGGCAAAATTTGGCATCAAATTCCAAAGAATCCCTAAATGTTGCCAAGACAGGCCAAGCCCTAGTCTTAATCTTAGTTATTTCCCAAGCTTTTATTTAAACACGAGAGAAAAGCTTTCTGAGCTGTAAATGCTGCTAAAACTCAGTTCAGCAAATGCATCAACAGCAGTTTACAGATGCCAAACATAAAGAGGATGTCTGACTTTTCTTCTCTGCAACGTGGCTGTACATTATGCAAAGATTAATATCAATTTTAAATTCTTAATTTTCTTCTGGCTAACTCTTCTCCCAAAGAATCATTATCTCTTTGCTGACATCCATCTAGAAGTAACTTGTATCACTGTTCCCTTCAGAAGATGGCACAGCTGGGCATAAGACAGTTACTCCAATAGGCCTTTACACGCTCTACTCAGTGAAGAGCACAGTGTTAAGTGGTATCAGTTGCAAAGGAGCCAGCTTTTTGGTCATGTTTTGAACAAGTCATACACACTCCATCTAATATGGGCTCATACTAGAACAATATAATATGTGATTCCAAGAGGATGTGGCTTGGAAGAAGATTAAATAATATCCGACATTACCTTATTCCTGATTTTGATGCGCTGGTAAAGATATTCAGGGAAGGGTTTGCGAGGGATGAAACGGCCCATTCCTTTATTTACGTGCAGGTTCCCATCTTCATACACTATCTTCCCTTGGCTTATGACCACTAGCGGGGCACCATGGCACTCCATTCCTTCAAAGATGTTGTACTCAACAGCCTGAGGATGAACAGTACATTCACTGCAAGTTTGGTAAAACACCTCCTTCACTCAGTAACTAATAAACCACATTTGTAGTCATATTTTTAAGCAACTGCCGTTAACAGGCATATAAAAATGCTGCTTTAAGGAAAAGCAATGCATTTCTGAATTAAATAATTTAAAAGCATGTATCCGATCCACCTCTCCTGGATATGTTGCTTACTTTCCATCAGGACTTTATCTGCTATTTTTTGAGGACTTTCCCTGTTTATCTAGAACCTCTAGAAATGCAATAACCTCACTAAGAAGGAAAATTCTGGCTCAGCTGTCAGATACCCACAAGACGTGGTCCCACCATGTACGTGCTATGACTATGTAAGGCAATTTCAGATGCCCAGCACAGAAAGCTTCAGACTTGCAGAAAGAACTGAGATTTCAGAGCCAGCACGTGTATTTCTGTCTGAAAAAGCCCAGAAAGGACCAGGAAAGCTTGAAGCTAAACAGGAATGACTGCCGAAGGGCAGGTGATCATTATTTTTTCAAAAATATTGAGAGAGAAAGAAATAAAAACAGAATCACCTGCATTTACTTTTTAAAGGTTTTCAAAGGTTTATGCTTTTTTATATATAAACCACCTCACTGCATTTACAGTTAAATTTATATAAGGATTTCCCAGTACAAAAGACCACAGCACTGATGATACAAATTTGAGATAAACACAGAAGATCTGCTGTGAAGTGAAGGTGAGTTACTGTTGTACTCTGTGCTAAGGACAGCAAAGTACATATCAAAGCTTTGCAATTAAGTGAGCCATGAAACTGTTAGTATTTCATCATCTATAATACAAGAAGGTATTGTTGATTTAAACGTGCATTTCACAACACCGGCTGCTTTTCATGTAAGCAAAAAAAAGTGAGCTGGTTTCAAACATAATCACAGCTTTATTAAGCTCAGCTGCAGACCTGCTACTTCACGCTGATTTACAAGATCAAGTACGAAAAAATAGTGCAACTGTATATTCAGAGAGAAAATAAATCCTTCCTGATCCCAGCGCTTCCAATGCAAGATTCATTACCTTCATTTTCAGAACTACACATTTCAGATAGGGAGTAGGCAGCTGCCCCACTCCTCTACATTTCACGTGTTTCCTCACATGAAATGGGATCAACATTTGAAAAGTGACAGAGACATTTCTTTTTTGTTGTTTGCTGTCTTTCTCAGCTTACCGATTTATGGCTTTTGGCTGTTATAGTCTTCACCTTATCAGGGTCCCAAATAACAACATCAGCATCTGATCCAACAGCAATCCGGCCTTTTCTTGGATACAGGTTGAAGATTTTGGCAGCATTGGTGCTGGTGACAGCTACAAATTGGCTTTCATCCATCTTACCTGTGGCCTAAAAACAACGTGACATCAGCAAAGCATTTATAAGATAGAGACTGAGTATTCAGAGTGCTGAATGGAAAAAAAAGAAAAACCAACAACATTCTGATGCCGTGGATACCATCCAGTTTCTCAGCTATCTGAGATCCCTTTCCCTAAGCACCGATGCCTGTGTGCTTTTTCACAAGTCCTAGTAATTTCCAATTAAGCATTTTAGTGAATGTAGAACTGAGATACATACATGTAGGTATTACAAGAGTAACTAAAAGATCAAGTATAAAATATGATCAGATTCCTTTAGAAATACTTTTTGCAAATTAACTCTATTCTCCTGTATGTATTCTCAAATCTGCAAATCAAAGCAATACAACTGCAATTACAAAGCTCTTGCCTGGAGACATGTCACCACCCATTGAACCTTTTATACTGTTAGTGATGGCTTAGTAGCAGCTGCACGCTGCAGTTTCTTTTGAGTTTGCAGTAGAGTATTTTGAGGTCTTCCCTGGCAACAAACAAATAAACATGTATTTACTGCCTGATAAATCATGAGATGTATAAGCTACTTAGTAGTCCAGAAATGAATATTGCCACCTGTAAGCGTCATCTCGCAACCCCTGTGGCAGCTCTTTCCTACTGTAGGAGTAACAAAATGAAAATATCACTGTCTGGTTGCATTTTGCTTGTTTTTTTAATATATGAAGATATCTGAAGCTGCTTCTGTGCTTGCAGTCACAAAAGTGGTCCCTGCAGACAGTGGTTATGAAATATCATCTGGGTGAAATGCTCACAAAAGTATCGTAAATACCAGCAGTTTACAGTCTGTAATACACATCTGAGTGCAGTGCAGGGCAAAGTAATAAGCCTGTGTATTATTGTATAATACTGTGTATTATAAGTATGTGTATGGGTGTGGAAGTGAAGACAGACAATGGAGGGAGAATATCATTACTTATTAGGATCCACGGAACCATCAAAAAAATGCTAACATACACCGGCACTCCACAGCAAAATATGCCAGCATGAATTACATGCAACGTTCTCCTTCAGAGCACTTTATGGTTTAGCCTCAGGCTCTGCTGCCATCCAGTTGTAATTTCTGAAAAGCAATGAGACACTTCCCAAATTCAAACAATCCATTCATTTCATTTACATGAGGTCTACTTCACAATCATTGAACTGTTCTACACGCCATGTGATCGTACATCTATGAGAAGCATCCACTCTGACACAACTGAAGAAATTACACACTGCAGTCTGTGAAGCCTCAGGTCGAGTAAAACACTGGCACTGCATGTCAGAAGTGATACACAGACCTGAGTTTATAAAACTGGAGCAGATTTCTGAAACAAACAATTCATCTCATAGTTGCTCCCTCTGGGAATTCTCACTAATATATTAAAAAGTCACTGAAATACTGATGAGGAGTCTCCTGCCTTGCAAAATTCAGCCAACAGTCAATTTCTTGTCATAAAAGTAATTACTTACTACAGCCTTGTCCCAGACAACAGTCATTCTCTCCTCAATTCCATTGACCCCTTCAGGAATCATAGTGAAGTTGTCCTTTCCAATGGCTTTCTGGGCAGTGCTGTAAGGGCAATGTCCACTTCCCGTCACCTGCAGGTCCCCACTGTGGAGTTAACACACAGAAGGTTTAGACCAGTCACCAAGGCTACCTTTGTCTCAGACTAGCTCAAATGGACTTTTCAAGCCGACCCACTGGAGGTACAGGCTCTAAGTCACATCAGCAGCCTTTCCATGTTGGCTACAGATCACTGAAGAGCCAACAGCAGTTTTGACATCTCCACATCTCCCTGAAACACCCCGAGTTCCCATAGATTCCAGCCTCCTTGGGTCTAGGGCTGCTATTAACAGAGATCAGGCACAAACACAAACCCAGACAAAGGATTATTGTTAAGATTAAGGAAATGATCAGGAGCTTCCATGAAATGTCTGCCGTACTCAAATTCATAACCACGTTCAGAAATAACAGCATGTTTTGCAGCACAAAAGCTTGTTTCCTGCATTTCTCCCCAGCACATACACTCTATTGCAATTTTTACACAAGTGTTCCTTGACCTTCCAAACAGGCCTTCCAATACAGGACAATGAAAATAAAAAGGAGGAATATTTTTCACCACACTGTCTTTTAATTAAACAAAAAAGGGGATAATGCAAGTGAAATGTACTCTGGATTTACCTAACTTATAGGCCTTACACAGGGAAACGCAGGGAGTGAAACACAGAAAGAGCTACCAAAAAAATGATTGTATTTGAATATATTTTTTCACCTTAGAAAAAAATTGTTGCAAAGATCAAAACTGGAACACTACTATTTTGGGGAATAAGAAGGAAAAGTGTAATTAATATATAGTATTTTGCAAATATAGGAAAAAAAAATAGGCTCTTCAGTATCTGCAGGAACGCTTACAGTAGTCAAGCAAGTTGAAACAAACTGCAATTTCTCCTGTCACTGCAGAAGGGTGACATCCTAGCAGCCTGTCATTCTTTCTAATTGACAAATTCCAGCTCTGAAACATCTGAACAATTCTGGTCCACTACTTTAGGTATCTGCAAGCTAACATGCAACCAAGTACAGAAGAAAAAAGTCACACATCAGCAACTTTCTGCAATTTTCTGGGCTGCCAACCCTAATGATTGCTGACAGTTGGAGAAGACTCTTTGGCCTCTGTTCTGGTTCTTCACCATGCTCAGATCCAGCCATTCATTTCTGTTATAAGCCAAACCTATGTTTTTCATGGTGAAATAGCAATGTGTTAGCTATTTCGAATTATTAATGAGTATATTAATGAATACTAATCCGTAGGAATGTATTAAAGAGTAATAATCCATAGGATTAAGCCAAATCCATCAGGAAAACATTAATTTATTCTAACACAGCAATAAAGACATAAGATTGTATGCCACTTCTTCTTTCTTGTTACACTCCTACTGCTTAGGTGTACACCACTGCCAAGTGTGGGGCGAGCATCTGATGAACAACTGAGATGAAGGGATCACCACAGAAAACATCTCAAAAAAGTGGTGGGAATTAACAGCCAACATCAGTGCCTCTTTAAACACCACACCATACCTCATGGCATTTTTTTTCCACTGTAAACAAGGTTTTGGGGGCAGATTGACATCTTCAATGTAGTGCTGAGATCTCACATCTCTAGCTTGAGAAGAGATGGGCCTCTCAAGGCAGCAATAATGCAGTAGTACACCATGGAAGATGAAAGCTACCTGAGGTGCATGTGGCCACATATGAAAAAAGAACCAAATCTGCAAGCCCGATGAGACAGACCCTAAATTTTCGTACTTCCAACTCTTTAGTAAAAAGTCAACAGATTCTGTGGTAATCAGCATGAGCAGCATGCTTGCAGAATATGAATATTGTTGAGTATTCTTTAATGGATGTAAAATATTTATCTCCTGATGAACAGTGAAATAGAAACATGAAATGTTATGATTACCATCATCCTTGCATAAAATTCCCCACAAATGCAGAGCAGAGGGATAATACATACAGCTCTTTTTTTAGTTTCATAGTATAGATTTAAAGTATTAAAGCCAAAAGCAGGCTAAGCTGCTGTCATTTAAGATCTAGGACTCTAAGCCTGTAAGAAAAAAAAAGGCATTTTGCATGCTTGGAGCATAATGAAAACTCTCCCTCCTCCATTTGTCTTTCTGATATTAGGGTAAATGTCATTATTTGGATTCCAGGTCTAAAAATTCTCTTGCTATTTCAGCCGATCTGTTTTGATCCACATATTATTTGAGGACTCTCTTTTCTGAAAACGTACAGCTGCATCTGACAGAAAAAAGGACCAAGCATTCTGATACACATGTACATGTATGCTTGCTAAGAGCTTTACCCTCACACAATGAGCTTCATTCCTTACACTGCTGTTAGTGACAAGTCAGACAAGAAAAGCCATTTTTCCTTCTTGTCCTTATTTTACGGAACAGAAAACTCAATAATGGAAAATTAGGCCACAAGGCCTTCAGAGCAGAACAAATGCTTGCACATTCCTACCAGAAATGCGTGCAACTCAGAGCTCAAATACACATTCATTAACAGTGCAGTGAATGCAGCACCATTATAGTAGCTGAAATCTAGATTTGTTGAGCACACAGTCTGACCTGCAATGTGCAAGCAGAGATGTATGCAAGGAAAGGAACCTCCCTCCACCCGAAGCAAAGCTCTGCTTAACCTGAGTTACACACCACAGGGCTTTTGTAACACTGGCCCCATTGCCATTGCTCCATGCAGCCAGTTAGTCATGTTGAAAACTAATCTAAGGAGGAAATGTTTTCTGAAGACCAATAGGCCACATTTAGGGTTAAAATTGTACTGTGCTGTGTAAAGCAGAGAGATTCTCAGAAAGGGGAGGCAAAAGGTGAGACAAGTGTCACCACCAAAGTGCTTCCACCATGGGAAATAAGGGTTTCAGTGGCTGAGCTCCTAATATCAGCAACACCAGCAATTCACCCTGGGGGATCTACAGCTGAACTTCCTTATGTAAGAAGACCCACAGTTGGCTACAGGCAGCACTTTCAGGGATGGATTTACAGTCTGTGTTACTGGCAAGACGTTCCTGATATCTTCTACATGAAGAAGACACTTGTCTCTAAACTGTCCACACTGCTTTCCCCTCCTTACTGATAATTATCCCCTTGCCAACCTGAAGACAGCAAATCCACAGCCCTGTTGTCTCGTGATGCTTTCAGTCACTAGCCTGTCTCCACCTGAATCCCCAACAGTCTTCTTTGTAAACCATTCTGGTCACTTTCTCATGCCTGACATACATTCTCTATACATATCACTTAACTTCCAGCCTCAGGACTCTGGAATTTATAAAAACATAAGGCATGCTATACTGTTTGTTTAGCTGTACAAGTAGGAACCACTTAAAAAGCAGAAAGAAAAAGAATTCCTGAATAACCAGACATCTTATCTCAAATATGCAACCCAGAAACTGGAGGGTCCAGGTCTGTTTATCAGTCCAACAGCCCCAGCACACGTTCACAGATAGTTTTCCACCCTCCCTTCTCTGCTGTGTCATGCATGGCACTGGTTTTAAAGAAACTGAGTTGATCTCTGGATGCTTTATTCCACGTGGCATTTGCACTTGATTTGATTTGATTTTTTGCACCAGTCAGTTAAAAAAAATGAAGGTCTTACCATGCTAAAAGTGAATTTAAGTGATCTGGAGTGGTAGGATCAGGGCTCAGAGGTGGTGAGGTCACAAAAGCTGCAGCCTTGGCCCAGTTTTTGCTCCAGTAATGTGTCCCATCTGTCCCCAAGCTGGCAGTGATCGGCTCTCCAAAAACAAGGGGACCTTGGGGAAAGCAAGGATATACAGGAACTGATTACAATCCACTCTCTTTCCAGCACATTGCAGATCTTGCTGCATGCTGCCATGTATAATTTATGCATTGCTACATGGTCAGTGTAGCCCCCAGAAAATAAAGCAGCCTTGGCTTTGTCTGCACAATAAAAAATTAATCAGGAGGCTCTCTGAGCTACACATGCTTTTGATCAGGATATTTACAAAGCTCTCTTTTTAATCCAGAAGGAGACAGTTCAGACCTGCTTTTAATTTGTACTATTTTAATCACAGCCACGTTCTCTCCGTTGCTGTGCTTTGGAGTGAATGTAGGTGGAGGATGGGCTCCTGACAGATGCCTTTCTATCACTCTGAAGTTAGGCACGGCACCAGTAGATCACAGCATATGGTTCCGCCAGCAAACTACAAGTCTCCAGGAACATAAATATCAAGATAATGTTTAGCTCTTTGGCTTCCTGTATGGGAACTGCTGAGTCACGGCCTGAACCTCTGATTGATCACCTGAGGTGAGCCATGAGTCAGCCAGAGGAGCACAGGTGAAGGCAATTCACCTGTGCTGCCGGAAGGGGTGGAGCCAGGCTCCACCCCTCCTGGACCTATTTAAGAGCTGGCTACCAGAGGGAAAGGATCTCTTCTGGAGATCCCCTCTTTTGGTATCTTCTAGTGAGCTCAACCCAAGGGTAAGCTCTTCCACTTATTCTCTTTTTGTGATCGTTGTCAGAGCTGATTCTCCTGCCTGTCTTCTCCATTCTCAAGTGAAATGAATGGAAAAGTAACTTTGTGAAAAAGATGGAAAAGTGTGAGTCTGCTCTTACTTGGTTTAACCTTTGTTCTCATCACCTCTATAAACAAGGGCAGGAGGAAGAACAGAGGCACTGTAGAAATAGTCTGAAAAATGGAAGAGCCGGAAAACAAGCAAGAAAAGAAAAACAAAAAGAACAGGAAGGAAAAGCATGGAAAAACAGTGACAATTCAGCAGAAAAGAGAAATCATTAACATGGTGCCATTTGTAGCAGAAAATGAGGATTACAGAACAATGATTAACTGTGAAAGAACAAAACTTTTCAATACAAAAGGGAGTGAACCTCCCCACTGTCCCCATGCTGAGCTACACCTTGTCCCACTGCCTTCAAAGAAGACCTGAGTGTCCCAGTATGGCAGCACTTCAGGTGCTGTTTCTGTGATGCCAAGGTTCCAGCAAGCAAAGGCAGCCTCAGAAGAGGCTGCATCCTCTTCTGTCCCTTTTGGGTGTTTTTTAACATGGCCAACCAAGCAAGGCTGACCACAGACATCCCCAATGCATGTTACTGGTGGTCAGCCTCCAACAGCAAGGATGAGAGCAAGGATCAGACACGTCATACAGCACATCCACTGCCCAAGCCACTGCAACCTAGAATTAACCCCACACAAGGTAACAACCTGAAATAAAAGACACAGGGAATGTGCTAGGTCTTGTAAGAAGGTGAAAATTTAAAGGTGTAAGTTCCTTTCACCTTTAAACCAAAACAAAGAGTTACAATGCAATCCTGAGGAGGATTGGGGTGCTTAAGAGTTCGTGGGGAGAAATTATCTAAGAAGGATCTCTTTTCAGTTTAACCAGTCCTAAACACTTAGTGTCTGTGACTGGTGTCAAAGTGTACTGATCAGTCTGCCAGTAACATTTTTTTCCACCGAGCTTCTATACAACACAAAATCCAAGTCTGAGGGCAGAAAAGGAACTCTCTTACCTCTCTTTCTGGCCAGTGCAATGATATCAGCTGCACTCTTACTCATCACCTTGGTGATGTACACTGGGCAGTTTATTCTACTGGCAATGGTGATGGCACGGAAAACTGCTTCTGCTTCAAGCTGAGGGGAAAAGGAAGAAGAATTTAACTGAAAAAGCAGACAAGAAAAAAATGAACTGGAGGACTGAGCCATATTTCTCATTGCTTAGCAACAACTCTTCAGGAACTGATTGTTTTTTTCACAGCGGGATATGCAGGAAAGCAGGAGATCCCCCAGCATCACACACCTCTTGTTAGGAGTAACCACTATATTTAGCTGTACTTGTTAAAGGGTACGGTTGGTCTGGTGCAAATACAGCTCCCTGCTCCTGAGGAAAGATCACATGCAGGTGGCTAACAGGGCTCCTCCTTACCTCCCTCTCAAGTCTTCAGACCTCTCCCTGTACTCTGCAGTTGGAAGGAGAACAAAACAAGGAACAGTGCCTCAGCTCAGAACTCTCCCTGGCAGCTTACTCTCTGCAATCTTTTTGTAAGGATAAAAGGACAGTGAAAATAAAGTATTCTCCAACAGCAACATCAGCATTATGGACTGAATTTAGCCCATAATCCATAAAAGCCTTTGAAACATCTCCCTGTATGCATCAACACAACCTCCTACCATAGAGCTGTTTGGGACACAGGCACAAAGCAGTCATCTCCAGGTGGAGGTGCACTGTTTGCCAGTGACTCTGAGGCTCCTCTACCCAGTCATCAGTTTTACATCTCCTAGACAGACTCACAGTATCAACATTTTAGTACCTAACAATCTGTTGAAATTAAACATACTGACTTAACAGTGCAGTAATTTTTTTCCAAAAGCTGTGCTAGACAAAGCTGAACAATTTAGCCTGCCAAAACCACACTCCTTACTTCTTCACAGTTTTGTAAAATATTTTTTTTCTTAAAATCAGACTATAACTTCAGATTCTTAAATGACTTTTATGGCAACATTTGCTCTCAAATCCCCAAAGACACCCACAGAAGTCTAAGGAAGGAACACAGGACCTCTGTGCACCACTGACTGAGTCTGAGGCCATCAGATGGCAGAGTCAGAAATTCCAGAATTGCAAATGCAGATTTTCCTTAGGCCCTTACTCTCATTAAAAGGAAATGCCTCAATTATTTCAGAATAATTTAGGTGGAAATTAAACAGGAAAATGAAAAAAAAAATACATAAACAGTTCAATAGAATGTGACCAATTAGGTTTACTCCTCTTGTCTTGGGGAAAGGTTATATAAAGATCTGCAAACCACAACAATCTCTTCAAGTTTAGCCTCAAATCTCCAGGGACTTGTCTCTTTAATCTTCAAGGAAAGCAGTCACTTAGCACTACCCCCGTTATGCCATCAGCAGCCTGAACTGTCTACAATAAGAGACACTGACACATCTCCATCCATTCCTTCTCATTAAGAAAACCATTTCCAGATGCCTGAGATGATCCTTGCAATGTCTAGTTTTATTACAGGACAATCACATAAATTGAGCTGCCTTGCAGCATCTTTCCATCCTCATATATTTGCATTTCTACTGTTTGCAGTACTACTACAAATATTTCTGCTGACATAAATACAGATTCATAAGTTGGCACACATATACGCATGGAATATACATACAGATGTATCTAACAGGAGGTTTTAATCCAAGGCATTTTAATCAATCTGGTAACCTAAAAGTCTAACCCATAAGCAGTACTGTTGGTGCTCAGCCTGCTACTCAATCATCAAATCCTGGAGTCAGAGCACAGGGTTCAGAAACAGAAAGAAAGAGAATAATTCTGGAAGTGGCCATAGGACAAACAGGATGCTGCCTCCCTCCATGCACCCATCTATCATCTGCATGTACAGAGGCCAAGCTGCAGTACTGCATGCTAGACAAAGTCTTTCCATGAACAAGATGAGCAAAACCTCTTACCTCCTCAGGCCTGCTCAGGGCATGTCCCTCCGGTCCCGTGATTCCCATCTCCAGGATGCGCTTTTGTTCCTGGAACAAAACAGATAAATACAACAACTAAATACAACAACCACTCCAGGATGAGATTCTCGAACCACTTCCCAGAAGATTAACAGCCATGTTTTCTGATCACCCTATTCCTGCGTGTACAAATGTAGCTCTGTAAGCCTGCTGAAGTCTCCACTGGCCTAGGAGTCCTATTTGACCAAACACCAGACTGAACAACAGGTTTCAACCAACATTTTAAGTAGTAATTATGGATATTCCCATCCTGCAATTCTTTCTTTACTCTGTTTCTACAACCTACAAAGTGTTGTTATGTTCATTAAACTTTCAGCATTACATTTCTGTATGGCTTTTTTCCTAGAGTGAATAACTAACATTATCTTTTTATGGAAGCAAAAAGCCCTACTAGGGACCACAAAAAAATTGTCACAAAAAAATTATGCTATCAAGCTTCACAGCAAGGCGATCAATTTTTTTTAAATAGGAAAGAAGCTTCACTGAACTTTCAATGTAAGACCGAGCAATGGTGTTGGAATAAAGCTCCTTTGTCATAGCAATTGCTAATTCAACCACTTCCAACCCGAGTTTGGTACTGGTCTACCAATGGGCCCAAAGTGGGAACACAGCAGCTGATGCACCTCAAAGCCCAGCCTGCCATGTCCTCAGGTCTCTAAGGAGCAGACTTCAACAAGTGCAATGTCTCCAATACAGAAGAATGTCCCTGAGAGACCAGGATGGAGTTACTTAACACATTTTACTATGTCATCTAGTAAACATTTGATCCCAGGCCTCCCAGAGTGCAAAGCTCATACATTACCAATTACTCCAGCAAAATCTCAGTAAGTTAACATCCACACATACTTTTGCCTTCACTGCAAGTCAAGGCTGAACAGCCATTTAATAGTAATGCATTAATCTGACTGTGTAATGAAGATTATTTGGGTTAGAAAATCATAATTTTTCATAGGTACTCTTAGAAATGGATGTTCTAAATCATTACGGCAACAGCTCTGAACACTGCAAGTTAAACACTTCAGATAATTAAAATACAATAAAAAAAATAAACAGTTGCATCCATAAATCAAAAAATAGCAAGACAGCACAGGATGTCAACACTTACGATAGGATACATTTATATCCTGAAGGAAGTCATAATATCAGATCACGTGATATAATTACTAACATAAGAGGATTTGAATATCCAGCTTTGTTTTTGCCATTCAAATGATCCTTCTAAATAAAAGGAACTGATTGATTTCCTAAAACATGACAATGCTGGGAAAATATTTTCCTGTGTAACATAATTCACATTTCTTTACAACTACTTCTTTTTCTAATAATTCTTTCTTGTATGCTCATATTCCATTGTTGTATATTAAAGCTGAGCAATGAAAAATGTAACTGAAACAGATTTCTATCAAAAATGCAGTTCCACAAGTGTACACTGATTTTAATAGGACACAAATCAAAACATCACAGATGCCATTTGATTTGTTTCATTTTGCCATTCCTACAGTAATATTGACTTATGTATTGATTTTCATTCTACTGGACGTTTTGTGTCATGCTAACACTATGAATGATATATTCTGATAGTTTTAAATCATTCTAATCTTCATGAAAAATCAGCAGTTTTTCCTCTCCTGAATCTCTCCATATGGTTTTCACCTGGTTTCAGTGGGAGAAGGACACTACTGTGCTGCATGTGCCTGCTGACTCCTCACTACTCTCTTTTGAGATCAATGGTTGCTTGGTCAAACTTGATCTAGGGAAAGAAGGCTCTCAAAGGCAGTAAATTCTTACCAGCTAGAGAAAGGACAGAAATCCCACTAAGGGAAAAACAACAAAATAAACCCTTAAGGGCAAAAGTGCTTACACACTCCACAAAAATTCAAATCTTTGTATCTCACTTAAGCATGCAACAATATGTCTTCCCTAATGTAGAGCTCAAAGACAGCTTGTTCTTAGCTACTGTAATTTTCCTGTCAGCTCTGTAGTTTAGTCCTTAGGTAAGCCAGCTAATAAACCAATCAGCTCACTCAGAGGCTCACAGACCTCTGATGTGCTCTGCACACAGACAAGGGATCTGAGGATTGAGATACCCCTATAACAGCCTTAAAATACTCATCTGCCACAGATATATGTGATCATAACAATACCCACTCAGAACTCTCCATTCTGTTCTACAAGTGAATCCTCCCTTGGAAAGATCAGTGGAAGGTTTGCTATTGATTACAGTTCTTGGGATATCTCACAAAGTGAAGCAAAAATCACAGTTCACTCACCTGAGCTATCAAGTCTCCATTTTCAGCATGCACCAGGATGACAGCCCCAAGACTTTTTAGAAAGGTAAAGGCTTCATAAAGCTGCAGGTAGTACAAAGAAGGAAATGCTGATTAATAAGGAAAACATATTAACACTTAGGCAACTCTGTTCATCTCCATTCTGCTCCTTCTATGTTGGTAATTCTCTATGTGAATGGCATATTATCTCCTTTTTCCACAATCCACTTTTGACATATTCCCAGAGTTACACTGCTAGGCATCACCTGGCCCACCTCTCATACACCATGCCTGCCCAGGACAAGCCTGTGCCTTTCTGCACTAATACAGGGTCAAGTCCCAAGTGATGCCACATCTCCCTCAGACATGGTGGTTCCACAAGCTCCTTCTATTCCCCATGCCTTCCACATTGTGAATAATCTCTTTTCCCAAGTTTTATCAAACACAGTAGATAAATAACAAAGGTCTCCTGCCTACCTAAACAAAAAAAAAAAAAAAAAAAAAGGATCCAATAAGATGCACTCAGATGGAATGGGAATAATCAGTAGACTACAGATACCCCTAGTACAGCCAAAACACATACCTTCTGAAGTGCAGGCAGTTTGCATCACCCTTTAGAGCAAATGGTGTCAAGTTTTCACCAGTACCTTCTGTACTACAATTAAAAGAACCCGTATTTTCTCTAGAGCATTCTTTTGTTTATTGCTAAGATTATAAACCCATCCTCACAAAATGAAAATTGTTGATCCTACTGTATTTAAGTGAGGATTTCTGAGATAACTGAATTACCACACTAGTGAAATTCTAGTTCTCTTTCTAACAGTTATTGAGCTAATACGATCCTTTTATAAGCCAGACTTCAGCAGCATGGGAATCCATTTTTCAACTACAGATCAAATCCTGAAGATATGGTTTCTTCACTGCCTACTTTTGCCTTAAACAGAGTAAAGGCATTAGTTCAGCTACATTTAATATTTTGCTGTATTACTTCTGATAATTTCAACAGTGAGTTGAATTTGGCATGCACTGCTTCCAAGAGAAGGCATGTTATTTTGTCTAAAATTGCAATTAAAACCACATGTACTGGAGGTGTAGCAACAGTTATTTAAGAGACTGAGAGCTACAGCTCTGGGAATAAGTACAAATAAAACATTTTCTCAACTGAATAAGCACACATTATCATTACTCACAGATGTCATTGTCCATTTACAATGACCTGATACTCATGAATGGGAAAGCTGAAGAGTGTGGAATCTGTAATGAGCACTGGACAAACAAGCTCATTGTTATCTCCAGCCCTAATGAGAAAAGGCCACCTACTCCGTCAGCAACACTATTAAACCTTTTGCAGCAACACAGGAACTCTTCAAATCTCAAAACTGTCACTGCCTCATGTGCTTCATCATTTTCTCCTTTTCTTACACAGAGTTCTTGAATGGCAACAGCAAAGTAAAGCGGAGGGCAAACTCCTAAGCAGTGCTGAACAGCTGCATCATTGGGGACATTAGATGATCCCTGCAGAAGTTGAATGCCATACAGTCCGAAGAACACACGCAGATGTTAACAGCACTGATCCTTCAGACAAAAATAGCCCTCAGGTGCAAACCCCCCCCAGTGCCACTCAGATCAGTGGGAATGTTGATCTAGGATTCAACTTAACAACTCCTCAGCTGCTGGCAGAGAGATCACAGAAGAAAGGACAGATCACAGCAATGAAAAACATTCAGAGCAGTACCTGGCTGTCAGACATTTGGTAGAGATCCTTGTAGGCCATGTAGACTTGAAAAGAGTTAACACCTGTTCCAAGACAAAATGAAAGACACTGCCATGTTTAGTGGATTCCTAAACTGTATTTGAATAAAATCAAACAGGAAAAGCAGATCATGTCTTCAGTGTTACCAAATAATGCCATAAATAAAGCAGGCTACACAGCTATATTACGGCTGCTGTGACTAGGAGCCTAAACCCCTTCTTTTCAGAGGGAATTTGCTGGACTCTGTGGATTGCCATGTTCAGCCCTGGAGCAATACAGCCATTACTGCAGATAAGACTGCTAGGAGCCAAATTACAGACAAGTGACAGTGGCTTAAACAAGCATATAAAGTTCATAAAATGTTAAAACACTTGCAGGGTACAAAGTTCTATACATCACTTTTTAGGTTTCTTTAACAAATCATGAAAACATTTTAGTTTGACCCGGAACTGTGCTTTTAAACACAGATAAACTTCCAGTTATGCTTCTTCAAAACGCTGAAAAGCTGCAGAAATTGTGTCTGAACCAGCAAGCTGACTTGCTTTTTCTTGATCCTGCTGTCCAAAGCACCCAGCTGAGCTGATGGCAGACACAGAATTAAAGCCTGAAATCAGATACAAGGGCAGCTTGCCGTACCTCTCCCTCCACCTTCCAAAGCTGGAAGGATTTATGCTGGCAGTGACACAGAACCATGAAAGATGACAGCTCCAAATTTTAGAAATCAGTAAGAAATACTAGTGTTGAGTGTTGGTGGCCATGTATCAACTGTATTCCACTATGTTTCAAAAATTTCTTCAGAGGAATTATACAGCTTCATGTTCTAATATAGAATGGGAATTCCAAACCTCTTCTGTTTATATTTTCTATGATTTGAATTTATATTAGTCTATAAACTTGCCTTTCTTTTTAGTCTACTGACAATATCCCCAGTTTGGCACAGGGACTGATCTCACACTTCTCCAGCCCAAAAGAAAAGTCAATTCTAAGTTAATCCGTGTAAGCTGCATTTCAAAACAGCGGTTGGGAAAACTGAGCTTCCTGTGGCAAGAGGAAAAAGGAGAGTTGTGCATGTTATGTATGTTGGCTGTGTTGAATGAATAATGCTCCCTGGTTACAAACTCTTCATGCATCTAGACATGCAGACGCATCTCAAGCAGAAGGTTTGGTTCGTGCTCATGCAGAGAATTTGTTTATTCAATTCAATTCAACTACAAGGCTAAAATACTCTGGGATACGTGGAGGATAAAACCTTGAAATGATCACTGGCATTAACGTCTTTCTGCTAAGGCCAGGCAGCTCAGGAAGAAATATGACGGGGGAACTAGTCCCTCCTCGCTGCCTTCCAAGCTGAGCAAATCCAGCCTGAACCACGGAGCCACCTCAGCCAGTGATCTTACCTTATTTTCTATTTTTCAGGATCCCAAAAAAACACACATAGACTTAAGCAGCTGTAATCCCTCAGACTGTTCATATTACATGTTTTCAGCGCACTCATATCCCTGTTAAAAAACAGTCAAAGACTGCTTTACTTGGTGCCAACAATTACAGACTCATACCTGCAGTCCCATCTACCCTGCCAGCATCTCACCATACTCTCTGTGAAAAACTTCCCCCTGATATCTAATCTAAATCTCCCCCTCCTTTAATTTAAAACCATTTCCTCTTGTCCTATCAAGGCATTACAGTTGGAAGACAAGCATTACCCAAGCATCACAAGATCTCTTCCCTTTTCTTTTAGGCCCCGTCCTAATTTTGGCAACTTGACTGTGAGTTTTGCTCCCACTCAAATTAATGTTAGCTATAAAGTCCATAGGAGTAAAAGGCATCTCAGAAGAGACAGCTATGGGACGTGATCCTGCTTCCTTACTGACTGCTTCCATAACGCAGAAGGAGAAATTACAGATATAGAAGCAAAACTATATCAGGCACCATAAAATGGAAGGGCACTTCACAGTTAGCCTTTACAGCCAATACAGAGATGGTTCAAGCCATCCTATTTTGCAAAGGAACTACCTTGACAAGATACCAAGGTAAAATAACACCAGATTACATATACAGATATTCAACTCTAAATTCTTTGACCAATTACTTGGGTCTGGTGCCTCAATCACCTCACAGGGAATACGTGGCTTTTCAAAAGACCTGGTCCATTGCATATTTTAATTCACGTTTAACATTTGTTACATGCTATAACCTTTTTCAAATCAGGGGTGGGTTCTCATTCTTGCACCAGGGTACTCAACAGAATCCTCTCCAAATTTCTAACAAATTTTTTAACAAAGTTAAAGGAATCATCAAGGCCTCTGTCAACACAGTTCAGGCTGTTGTGCCTTTATATACACTGAAGAATCACAATCACAAACTAGTTGTTAAAAAGCTAAAAGCTCTGTAATTGACATTTGGTTCTACAAAATCTCCAGGCCCATCAAAATCCTATGTCTCCCTAAATTAGCTTAGTGTTGATTTAAAACTGATTAATTATTCAATTACACCTCATGACAAAGTACAGCAGCAGCAGCTCTCTGAGCTCCCATTACTCATACCAAGATTTTAGTAGGCACTAACAGAAATATGATTAACGGAGGCCTGCTCCTTGCCTAACTCTCCTACCAAACAATCAGCTGAGGTTAAATTCAATCCAGATTCTCAGATGATGAAAACCAGTGTCACTCCATTCAAATCAAGTCTATTTGCACCAGCTGGCTCAGACGTTTCCAATTATCAGCAGATATTACCCATTAATTTGAAAGTCCTTGCCACACTGAATTATTTCCTATTCTGCTTGTGCTTTCATATTCATCCATAACTTGTGCCTCCCCACACACAAAAGTAATTCTTATTGACTGAGACACTGCAGCATCCAGAAGAACAAAAGTGACCTCTTAGTGCTGCTGCAACCAAAGATGCCACCAAGGGTCAGAAATGGATGAATAGCTCCCTGCCTTCCCTGAAGAGTGAAAACTCACATTTCTATAGCTGGAGAAAACTGTTAACCCAACTGAGTACTGGGCTTTCAATGTAAGCCCCTGGCACGTTTGGAAGTGCTGAGCCACGTGTGACCCAGGAGCTCTGGAAAATAACATCTAATCTTTGAAACAAAGCACAGCACTCTTGTCTGATATTCAGCTAACGCACTTCACTGTGTCCATGTTAGCACTGATAACAGAGGAACAGCACCATCACTATTACCAGACGTCATCACCTTGTAAAAAAATATCCAACTGAAGACCAGCAGCAGTTTGTCTAAATTATATGCCATCTTGCTAACTGTAATGTTCTGGGCTTTTTTTCCATTATACAGTAAGTGTGCTGCTAGCATGCTGCAGTAGAAGATAAATTCCTCCACAGTAACTCAGTGAACAACTACTCACTGAAAATATGGGATTTTGCTTCATGTTTCTACTTTGATAGTATATTGTGACCTAAAGAGAATTTTTCAAATCTAAGTCATCACTAACACTATACCTCTTAAAGAATGATGCATTAATGTACTACTTAAGACATTCCAACAAAAGAGTCATTCTGATTTTCATGGTATTTAATACTGTTTCAGAAAACATTCCCACTAATAAATAAAGGAAGAATGCATCAGATGAAAAATACTTGAAAAAATATGTTTCTGGGCAGAAAACCCAGGCTGTCAGATAGGAACTAGACCACAATTTGTTTTCTGAAGGCATGCAGGTATGCGGTGCTACCAAGATGCCCTGCCATATATGCCTCTCCTATGCTGAAGCAGCAGGTGTGGAAGAGGATTTATTAGACATTTTATCTGTCCTATTCCTGAATGGTAGCTGGAGGTCAGGTAGGGTAACCTACAGTATGTCACATGATAGCAGACTTGTTAATTGAACTGAATCAAGCCTCTGAGTTCTTAAACAGACTCCTAAATAACTGACCTAGTTTTTCAGAGTCCTGATACAAAACATCTTCTAGTAACTTTAGGGAGGGCCACAGGAGACCAAGAACTTGTGAAAATCAGGGCACTTTTCCATTATTAGGTACTTAACTTTAGGCTCTCTTTTCTCTTGAGCCTATTTAAAAAATATAGGCATTTTCTATAATAATTTTCTGACAAGCAAATTATCTTAAGAAACTGCTGAGAAACTTGCAACAGCCTGTGATGAGACTTTCTCAGATACGTGATGAGATGGCCCTTCATATTTGGGCTTAATTTGAGGCGGTCAAATGGGCTCTAATGCACAAGCCTTGAAGTCCACTTACAAAGCAGCAAGAAAATACAAAAGTTCAAAGTAATGTACAACCTTGGGAAGCATACCCAGCACCTGTGCATTTCTTTTCTGGATCATGTATTCTTTAAACTACTACCAAATCTGACCTCCATACAACATTTAAAAAACACAAAAATGGTGCTTATTTTCACTCACTAACCTTTGTCTTGCACCAGTACTTCCAGCTCTTCTCGAATCCCATCATACCAGCTAGTGATGTCCACGTGGAGAGAGTAATCACAACAAGATTTGGTGTCAGCTGCCTCGTGCCACTTCTCAAAGGATGTCAGTAAACTTGATCCAGGCTCTGGAAGCACATGGTCAACTGAAAAAGAGAATCAGTGTCTCTTACTCAGACTACATACTATTTGGATTTCCTCAGTCCTTGTAATTAGCCTTCTCCCGTCTCAGCCAAAACAGCAGCCTTTAGGGAAGTTTCTGTGCCCTGAAGTAACTTCAGGATGTTAGCCAGATCCTGCTGTCTCAGGCACAACAGGCTTTGTGGACAGTGTATGCTAAAGGTGAGTCCAGCAAGTTGCCTGGTACAGCAACAACAGTTGCGCAGCAAGAGACCTGAATATCTCATGGTTTAGGAGATATTTAACTTTCCATTAACTGTTTTCTAAGAGAAGACCTATTTATTATCTCATGCATCCATTTCTATGTATTTCAAGTATTATTATTAACCAGTGCCTCCTAGCCTATGAATTGGCTCACTCTGCCTTACTAATGTATCAATGAAGATGCTGATTGCTTTCTCAACTGCCAGAATTGGGAATATGGCCAAATGTTTGAACAGAGAGGCTGCAGAGCACAAACACTTGGCCATACCACATGGCAGACTGTGCGTGCTGGAATTACACATCTTGGCTGTCTTAAGGTTTTCAGCATGTGATAATGCCACCAAGTCATACAACATCACTTACACATGTACCGTTATCATTTTGCTAACCTACATCACATGTCATTATGGGCTTGTTGATGGCACATGCAAACAAAATGTTTTACAGGAAGCTTCAACTGAAGAACATACATTGAAAAACTTTCTAACAAAAGTAATGAACAGCAACATACTTCTTGCTTGTTGCCAGACATTTTTTCAGCTGATATTTGCTTCTGAACATAGATAATAGGCAACACTGCTCAGCAAATGTAGCCACATCCCAACTCAGGGAGCCATTGGGCAGCTCTACACTGCCTGTAGGAGAGAGATGAAGATGAATCTTGTCCTGCCCTATAGTACACAGTGTAACAACTAGTAACACTTCTCCCATCCACCAAGCCTTCCAGGACACCTCCACTGAGAACTTCCTCCATTCTTCACACCAAACCCAAGTTCATAAATAAGCATCTTGTTATTCCAAAGTCTCTGAAATGCCACTAAGTAGGACCAACAGATCTTTGCCAGATGGTCTGCGTCATATAATTATAGCAGTAACTACATTGCTTTTTAAGAATCCCAAAAGTAAGTATACTACTCCTTATGCTTGTCAAAGGGAAATCCAAGAAGTAACTCCCGTGCTGCTGTTTTTTTCTGAGGGTAGGTTCACTTTCAGGCAAACCCTGGGATCTCCAAAACAGCATCCAGAAATTTGAGTATTAATCAGAGAAGATGTGAGAATATCAGTACAGAACCTCCTGTAGCTGTCTCCACCTACCAATGCCTGGGCTTTGACTTGGGATGGGAAGAGGTGGTTCTGCCAATACTCACTGATCATGGTGGTGCCTCCTGCTACTGCTGCTTTTGTGCCTTGATAGAAGTCATCAACAGTAGTCATTCCTTGGTAGGGCTTTTGTAGGTAAGTGTTGACATCTATTCCCCCAGGGATAACCATGCGCCCATTAGCCTCTATGGTCTTGACTCCTCCAGGAACAATCAGATTCTCTCCTATTTGCCTATGCAGCAAGGAAAGGCAATATTACTTTACTTAAACAGTAAAGCGAAGAACTTAACTGGCGTGCACAGGGAAGAGAAAACTAGGGACCATACCAAAGGCAGAAAGAACTGAGATCTAAAGGGACAAACACAACCACCTGCTCTGGCTGTTCTGCACAGCACTGGCAGAACAAAGCATCCACGAGTTTGTCAGCTGGGCCACATGCTCTAATTGCTTTGCATTGCTCTTGTGGCCAATAAAAAAGTCATAATGTGCCAAAGTTAAAAACTTCTTTTTTTAATATGACTGAAAATGAGACTTAAGCATCCTATCTTTAAACAATTACAAATATCTAGCGTTAACATTCTCTTAGGAGTTCCAGTATTTTAAATTAATTTCTATCAGAACACAGAAAAACATAGATCAAGTATGACAGTAAGTGAGAATTGCACATAAATGGCAAAGGCAAAATGGACAGCAGAAAGGAGCTAAAATTACTTTGTAATCAAGCAGTGTGAATTTATCCTTAAAGGGAAATATAAATATGCTAAGATATAGAAATACGTACTTGAGACTCAAACAAATCTAGCCTGCCATGTCACATAATCTTCATCCCCCTCCTGCAGTTAAAGCTTAGTGGAACATTCCACACAACTGAGTAGAAACAATTTCAAATGCTCTTGCTATCTTTCCCCTTGCAGATCTTCAAAACAGGATTGTTTTCACTACTAAAAATATTAATCTGTCCCCCATGCTGATATCAAGTGAACTCCAGATACCTACAATCAAAATACTTTGAGCGTTCACAGACATAACTGAGTAAACCAACCTTTAGATTTTAAAGCCACATTACATTTTTATAGTCTGTTTTGTGCTGTCAAAGAGGAAAAGTGTGGGAGCTGTGTCTCTGCGCTGCTACCCCTTCATCTGTCTGGGCTTAGAGACAATCATAACGCGCTTTAAGTTCATTTAGTTGATCTCATATGTCTGATACACAGTCAGTCCCTGCCTTAATTTCCTTTTGTCTGGGATAAAATAACACTAACCCACAGCTAAACAAACACCCCAGACATCTGAGCTGCTGCATCTGTTTCTCCCATATTAAAATGCAACTCCCACTTATGGAGCAAAACACAGTGCCCCATTAACAGCCAATCACAACAAGTTACAACAGAAGATGAATAAAACCATTAATTAAAATCAGTGAAAAAACAAGGGTAATTATTCAAACTGGAATTTGGCCAAACCACCGGAGTTAATAAATAGCCCCAAAAGGTCAAGAATTTGCTTCATACCCTATGCAAAAATGCCACCTCCAGCAGCTTGGTTCTCCCAGCATGGTGGGGTTTTGCTGCAGGGAAGCACAGCCGTTCTGTGAGCAAACACCCCTGAGCAGCCCGAGCTGCAGCCTCACCCTAGTGCTGAACAAATCCAAAAGTGCTTAGCTTGTGAGACTTGATAATATCACAGCTTGAAGACACACAGCTCTGTATCTGATGTCCAATATTCATTAACACATACGGCACTGGGAGCATGTCATAACCTGTTTACAGTGGTGGGGAATGCTAATGGTGCCATGACAAACATGGAAGTGATATGCAAAAGCAACCCAGCACATCAAATGGCACAAACACGGTGCAAGAAGATTCTCTGCTGTTAAAATTTGAATTGCAAAGGCATACCATACAGCACTCCAGCCCACAAGCAGATTGAGAGCATAGAGAAAGTTAGGTAGACCCATGGATAATAATGTGCTGCACTGATTTTTGTTAGTTGAATCCATTCCCAAAATTTTAACTGCTACCACACCACATAATATTGCTAAAGAAAACCTATCAAAAAAATATAAAAGCAATTCACTTTCATGCTCTTCCACAATTAGTATCTATCGGTTTCCTATTCAAGAAGACACACATCCAAATGAAGTAAAAGAGTGCTAAGTGAGTACTGAAGTTTTTTGATGACTCATTGCTCAATACTCAGCAACAGCTTATTTGGCAGTCACTGGAGTCATCCATGCTGAAGTGATACAGGACCAAATGGTCTTTGTGGATGACACTGTGCTACTACCTGTCAGGATCCTGCCCCATCTCTTGCCTGGCATAAAGATTAAGGCTGCTGAGAGAAGGCATTCAAGGTTATTTTTACTCTTATGATTTGAACATAAAGAGATAATGTGATGAGATTCCTGAATTTCTCACTTGTTAATGTATGCTAATAAGAACGGGCTTCAGTTACCTGTGGGAGAAAAAATACAGTGGCATAGGTAACTATCCTAGGCACAATATAAATGATTGAGCCACTTTTCTGATGCACCAGCAACTCAGCAAACTAGAAAAATTGGTCTATGGGAAGTTGATGCATTCTACAGTTCTAAATTGAGCAAGCTGGCACATCCTGTCATATGCAAGCTGATTAAAGGAATAACAGCTGTATCACATCAGACTTTGACTCTTTGTAAGCTTAACTTGAGAAAGCTGGAAAACTCCCTCAGCACTCAATTAAGTTATATCAGTCACTAACGACCAGATATCTTTTAGACATTTCAGGCTCCCTCTACCTTGGCTTGTTGCTCGCCCAGCTCCAGTCCCCTGTGACCCATCCTGCACGCTTGTTGGTTCCCTACACCAGGAGTGAACCCACACCTTCCATTGGCAGGGCTGGAGTGGAGGACAGCAAGCAGCAGACATTGTGACCTACTGCTTGGCACCAAGACCAGGGTTCATTTCTTCACGTGGATAACAAAGACAGGAAAGATGCAGGCAAAATGTATTATTTATGTACTGATAGTAATTTAAATTACTGAATATCTTACTTACTATTTAGATACCAAAGAGCAGCCTCTCGAATCCCATTTCATCATGCACAGCTTGAGTTTCAGCTGGAAAAAAATCTCATGCTTCCTTGTACATAGTGAGCCAGTTTGTGCCCAGATAGGTAGGAAAAAGCCTTTACCATCTTCCAAACTATAGATAATCTTCAAATGTATTCAATGTGTTCGCTACATGTGCATTCCTCTCCGCAGAACAACCTGCAGATATCTGCAGTAGGTCTTAGTGGACCCTACTTCATTTCATTAGTCTGCTAGAGAAACTCAACCTCTATTTTCTAATCAGTTTCCACTGCAGAACAGGAAAATGATCCCTGATCTTCATATCCTGGCAAAGCCATCACACTATTGCCTATTCTAGGTAGAGTCCATTCCATTTTGTGGAAAGAATTCTGTATTATCAGCTGGATCTACAGCTGAAGAGTTAGAGTATCAATTAAAATGTGGCTGACTGAGGCTCAAGATTCACCTCCAAAGGACCCTGTGCAACACTTAACAACTATGTTAAATACCTAGACACAGGGGGCAGTTTCAGCTGGAGAAAATAAAGGTCACACCCAGAAAACACAGCACTTTCCAAACTGTAGAATTTACCATCAGAACACAGATAGGAACCAAGCCCAACTCACACCAGGCTGCACTTGCATATTAACTACCGAGTTTTTCAGAGCACAGAAAAATCTCAAGTCGTACAAACTCAGAACGCCAGTTACAACTCAGGTTGTTCAACAGCAAGCTCCCCTCCTTTGACAAAGATGAAGGCATTTTAAAATTCAAGATATCAAAAATTAGTTTTTTTCAGTTGCAATAACCTACGTCATGAATAATGTATATAGGCATAGATATATAAAGAAGCAGACTTTTAATCTGATGATATCTTGTTAAGAAAAGGAAATCTGAAAACAAGTAGGCAATTATTTACCATATAACCGTAATTATGTTTCTGTGGGGCCTCTGGAGACCAAATTTGTTAGATTATGAAAGAAAATATTTAGTAGTTGAGAAAAAATTTTGATCCTGATTTATATTATAGTGCTTACACACACACATAATTCATCACAACTACAAACTCTCATCACCACGGTCTAAGTATGACCAGTAGAGTTACATTACATCTCTGTTATTCTTTACTGAACTTTCAGTAATGTGTATTTTTTATTCATCTAAGGAATACCTTCCCAGTTCCCGTGGTATATAGTCAATAAATCAGTAGGATTTTCTAATGGCATGAAACTAAAGACCTTGCTTTCTAAGCAAGAAAATTTGAGCAAGGGACATTTGAGCAATATATAACACCACTGTACAAACAGAACACAGAATAGAATCATAGAATCATAGAATTGCTCAGGTTGGAAAAGACCTTAAGTCCAACCCCCCCACCTTACACTTGTGTAACAGGTCAAGGATGTATTTCTGTGTTACACGATCCTGTACAGCATGGCTGCATTTGCATTTGGGGTGAAGGTGAAGTTGTAATAATCCTCCAGCTATATATGGACTCAAAAAATACTCATCATATATTTTTTCTTCTTGCTTCAAGAGATTGTACCTGCCTGCCTTTGTTTGGCTATTTTGGCCAAAGCTAGAAATGAACTGTTCAAAGATCAAACATTTTCTCTTTACAGCTACAGAATTTTCCACCTACCAGCAAAAGATTAAATGGCAGAATTTCATTATTTAGCGTTCCTCTACAGTGACTCCATATCAGGAGTAACCAAGATGTTAGTTGCAAGGAATGAGGTCAGTGCCATCAAGAAATCACATCAAGCTATGCTAACAGGCATGCAAAAAAAGTTCAATATTTAAAAAACCAACTTTATAAGTCCATCTTCCAGGTATAGGTCCGCATAGAAGGAGTGGTCATCATTGATAATTCTTCCACCTTTAATGAGTAGTCGGTCACTCTGGGAGGGAAGAAGAGGAAGAAATGTGGTTTTGTTCAAATAAATAATCATAACAACATAGTGATTATATCAAATAGGCTTATAGTATATGCAAAGTCATTAACATCAAAGCACTCACCCTATATACAGATCTATGCCATAGACTCGGGTGAGTACATAGATGGTAGAGTAGAAAACCATAGTTTCACTGAGTGCTTATTACTGCTTTTTGGGATATCACAGTGGTCCCATCCTTAAAGCACACACAGGAGTCAGTATACCACAGTATATTCAGAAGAAGCAGAGTTCTAATTCCCCTTCTGAAGGAGTCATGCTGGAAACACCAGCACCCTACTCAGAAACTGGAGAAGTTTGCAACTTCAGTGCATAATGCTTTTGAAAGACTTTCGCCAAGTGACTGTGAATGCTGAAAAACTGAAGCAGCGAGAACCTTCTCACCCCATTCATATATTTAAACAGGCCATTTATTATAAATTATTTCCTTGGCTCACCAAACAATAACTCAGAATCTATATTTTGTCCATGCCTTATGCTCCTCACTCCTGACTCAGTTCTTGGCTTAATTACAGGATGACTCACACACATAAACCATGCATGTCTCAAGTTCCCAGTTCAGAAAACAACTGAACAATTCAATATGCTTTCTCATCTATGAAACTAAGACAACAACTGAGAGCTCCTAAAAATTTACAGATAAAAAATGCTCAGCCAGAACTAGGGGTGTAACAATAACCTTTCTTCAATGTGACTTCTCTGATATAGGCCCAATGTTGAACACTGAGCTTGTATTCAAAATTTTGCAGGTCTGAAAGCTATATAGCCCTCCCTATGAATCTAGAGAAGCATGAAGGGAGAACTACCTGTCATTTATAAAGACATTTTAAATACAGTGCATGACCACAGGAGATGTACACAGAGAATGTGAGTCTCTTCTCAGGCAGGGGGAAGTCAAGGCCCAGATCCGCATTGCAGTACATCCCTGGGACCTGCCTTGGGTGTTGGAATCCTTGCCTTAAAAGATGCAGACAAATGCAAGTCCTCACTCTGGAATTTGCCAGACTGGGCTCCACGTTCTCTTCCCAGTCTCTCTGCTGTCACTCACAATTACAGTGCTTACAAATCAGCAGCCTGAAAAGTCATAAATTATTTTGCCATGTGCTGGCAGTAGTACCTCTTCACCATGATGATTTATACACTGTCCACTGACCCATGGAGAACTGCCTTCCTACACGTTAACACTGTCTTAGCACAAAGAGGCAAGAGCTCATTGATATGGACAGGGAATTCTACTGGAACACTGCATGTACAACTGCTAATGAGTCAAAAATCTGCACGCTCAGAGAGATGTTCTATACTTTTTCCTTTCAAAACAGAAAAAGATGCATAATAAATAGGAGTAAATGTAACAGGCGAGGAAAATAAGATAGACCTAAAGTAAAACAAAGTACAACTCCAGTAGAACAACTGTAAACACAAAAAAGGATTTTATACATTTTATATAAAAATATATGGGTCAAAAGGAGGCATCAGAAGAACTGAAAATAAAAGGATATAAACCCAGTCTCAAGAAAGCACTCAATTATGTGACTCATCCATTAAATGAAGATTCATTTATAGTTTATAAAGGATTATTGACTATTTAGATCTAAATCACTCCTTCTTCAGCATTTCAGAGGGTCTAAGAAACTGCCCAAGAAAGAGAACCACACTTCACAGAGCCTTTCAATGTTAAAATTCCTGACACCATTCTGCCCAAAAGAAAAAACAAACCCTCCAACGCTGCTGCAAAAGGAAGCAGGTCTTGCACCTCAGCTGGCTGGTAGCTAATGTCCCCAGCCAGGAACAGGAAGCCAAGGGAGATGAGGTTGCCAAAACTCCACAGATTCTGATGCTTCCCATTGCTCCCCAGATCTCCCAAGCTACTGGGGACATGAGCTACCATGCAGATGTCTGTGGAGCCTTGCCCAGCTCTCATCAGGACCAACGGATGCGAAAACATTCCCGACATACATTTTGATCCGAGTGAATCAGCACGTCCTGATGAAAAGGGATTTGCTGGAATCTTTCCCAACTGCTCAAGTTGTAAGTGCATCCATAGGAAGAGCTACAGATTGCTACAAGTCAGAAGGACAAGCAAATGATGATAGTGATGGGTTGATGGCTGGACTAGATGATGTTAGTGGCCTTTCCAACCTTAATGATTCTATGAAAGGTACTCTGACACAGAGGGTGCTGACAGGCACCAAAATCTCAAGTCAGACCTTGCAATTTTCTATACACAGTGCCAAATGCCCTGGAAAACTTGTGATCAAAGTCCTCTTCTCCCTGACAGCACTGCAGGCCAGAGGAAAGCTGCACCATGGGGAAAGCAGGGTGGGAAGAGTGCCCCAAACGCAGGCCTCCATCACCTAGTGCTGGGCCACGTTCCCCACTCCCAGCTGTAAATCTCCTCCGGCAGGACGTTTTGTTTGCCCAGTTCTCAGATGTGCCCCCAGCCACGGGCTGACCTCCGGGTGCTCTCACAGTGCAAACAACAGCGTGCTCATTGCTCAGCCCAGCAACCACAGTACAAGCCTTTATGGGCCTGACAGCAGGAACGCTGTGCAGCGAGAGGGGGAATTACAATGAACACTGAAATGGAGCGATTCACTGGGTGCCAAGCTTCAAGACAAAAATTCCTGCTCTCAGTGACGTGGGAGGGGAGGGAAGCACCACTGTGAGTGCATACAATTGCTCAGCATTTATAGAGGCATTGAGCTGAGGTGTTTCTCCTCCACCTATTGCTGCAGCAAAGCTGTTTGCTTCTGGGTTTGTGGCTGGGTGAAACAGCTGCAGCAGGGCTATGTGCATCCTTGCAGCTCCATTTTGCAAATGCTCCAGCTGCTTGCAGCTCGGCTCCTCTCACTCACAGCACTCCGCCTTCAAACCCCATGCACTGCTTTACTGCTGACATTTCACTGATCGCAGGCCGGCTTCTGCTTTATCTGGCAGCAAAGCCACTGAGCTCAGTCTGTCACATGACAGCAGTTTTCACGGCAGCAGAAGGAGATGCCACAGCCTCAGCATCGCTTGCTGTGGGAGGAGGAGCCCAGACACCAGGCTTTTGCTGTGTTACAGCTATTGTCTGCACTACAGCACGAGCAACACGAAACATCTGTGGGCTGGTGACAGTTTGTACAAATCGCCTGGTTTGATGTTTGGGTTTTTTAAAATCAGCTTGGCTCAGCTCTTTCTGAAGTATGTTCATATTTTCAAGTGTTCCCCATGATAAGGGGCCAGCAGAGCCAAGCAGGGGTGTGAACCAACATGCAGTGACCCACACAATGTGTATGAAGCTACTGGGGGGCCTGAATTCTGCATCACTGCCCTGCACAACTGCCGGGGAAGTCAAATCCCTTGGGTTAGTAAATCATTTACCTCTATCTTCAGATCAAAATGATCCAAATGTTAGATTTGAAAGAACAACTGCAAAGAAATTTAAACTATCCCTTTTTTCATTTACCTACTGCGCTCAGAGCTACACATATTTAAAATCACTACATAAAACAAAATTCAAATACATTTTTTACATCCTCAGTCTTCTAGAACATCTGAAAATCGCAGCAACAGAAGGAATAAAACTGGCATGAAATGATATAAAAAATAAATATTATTTGATCCTAATGCAGCATGCCATAGCACAATGCAGCACAAGCTGTAGAAAACACACCTCTCTGCAGTACCAATACACATTGTACTGCGCTTGCATGCACCTCTCAGAGAAAACCACACCTACAGTACAAGATGGAGGTTGGGGAAGGAAAAAGCATGACAGAATCTGACATTATGTATTCTAACTACACAAAAAGAGTCAAAGAGAGTTCAGGAGTAGTGTTTTAATCAAATGCCAGCATCCGTCCGGACTGCAATCCTGATATATTCTATTCTATTTTTGTTTTTCTTTCAAGAATAGAATGTCTATCTATTACACAACCAACTCTAAATCAAGAAATAATGTCTTTTTAATCATTTACAGTTTGCTCTACAATTTAACTACAATGAAATTCACGTGATGTACTCAGCAAATAGCTCTGAGTACTGCTTTGTGCTTAGATTTGGAGTTTCACGATTGCTGCAATGCAGCCATTGCCAACTGCAAAGGTTTTGCAACACTTTTAGCCCCAGTATTTCCAGGCCTAAAGGAGAAGAAAACACTCTGTAGTGATTTCATCCTTCGCACAACTCCAAGGACTTACTAGAATATACCACTGTCCTCAGATCTCCACAGCAACAAAGGGTGTATTCTCTAAAATTCGGAATAGTGAAGGGCCCTGAAGATGACAAATGATTTTATGCTAAACAGCAGTTAAAGAACAGTTCAAATTCTGAATTCACCTGTATTTTCAGTTCTCTGCCCATAAGTATGTGGTTTAAAAGACACATAACATAACATAACATAACATAACATAACATAACATAACAGACATAAGAAGGCAGTGGGCTATGTTATCTCACACACTGCCAGGGCATTCATCTTTACTTTTCAGCATTTGAAAGGTAGAATCCATTATTACTAAGTCTTTAAAAGGACCACTGGGAGCCAAAGAAAAAAAAAAAAAAAAAAAAGACACAGCATCCCTATTTTAAAGTTCAAAAGCCCAGGATGATGCTTGTGTTCTCCTTGGCTATGAATATTTGTAAGGGAGCAGTGCCCCAAAAGCAAAACTCTCACTGGCAGACCATGGAGGGAGAGTCCTTCCGTGCTTCTTTGCATTTCTAATTTCCCATAGCAAATGAGAGATTTACATTATATTTCCTTTTTAGATATCCTTGGTTGCCTATCTATGTTCAGAGCCAGTTAGACTGGGAAACCATTGCAATACAATATGGTTCAGTTACCTTGGGTTTTGCAAATACTTACAAATAAGGAACATTTTTAACTTAATGCCAAAGGAAGAAAGATATCCTTCCCACAAGGAATGCTTGCTTAAAATCCTTTCATAAGGATCAAAGCGCTATAA